ATAATATTTTCTCCACAAACAAGTTTTAGATTCTTAGCCAAACTATTTGTTGTTTATTAAATACTATTCATTTTACCTATTAGAGTAATTTTAGACTAGGGATTTATATGCAAGAAGTATCAAATATTTTATCCACTTTTTTTTACTAGATAAACCTGCACATAAAAATGAGAAATTATCTATAAAAGTGACAAAATATTTTTTGCATCCCTTAGTTTAAAATTATTTAGTTCACATACAACAAGGTGTTGTACCAGCAATAACTTTCAACTTTAATTTGGAAGTAATCTTGCAACCATGATTTATGTATATGTTTCACATTTTTATTATTAAGGCCTTTGTTTATATCATATGCAGATATATAATACCTTAGCAGCCACAAATAATAAAACGTCCAAGCGTAACACTATATCAAATGCATTGATATTGAACATAACAATGCAAAAGTAAGCACTACAATTCAAAAAGTTTCACTGCAAATGTAATATTTGGCTATCAACGAAGGTCACAACCTTAATGTGTCATTTGGATGACTAGACATGACTTTCACTCGTGTCTTTTCACTTTGAACCAATTGACATATTCTTTCAAATATGTCTTTCACTACTAGTAGACACCTCCTTTCATTTGTGTTTTCTCACTTAAAATCAATAGATGCAATTTTAATGTGTATCATTTCAATTGAACTCACAAGACAAAAACACTTAACATTTCTCTATCCATCCAAAGATCAAGAAATCACAACTTTTCATAAAAGTTGTCGATTTCGTTTCACCATAACCATACTTTTGCATTGCTATAAAAACTTTCACATGTATAAAACATTTACATTCATATGTAGCATCAAATTTTTGAGACCAAAATTGTCCAAAAAATTATTGAAATATAGTTATGTTCTTCTATCGTCAACTTTTCTGTCGACTCTGTTAGATCGACGACAAAGTCGACAAAAAGTAATGGCAAACTATTTTATTGAAGTTGACTTTTCTGTCATCCTTACAAAATCGACGACAAAGTCGACAAACAGAATAGCGAGTCATTCTAATGGCACGTCGACTTTTCAGTCTACTTTACCAAGATTGACAACAAAGTCGACACAAACATAAAAAAAAAATATAACACATTCCAATAGACATCGACCTTTCTATCGACTCAAAAGGACCAATGATAAGATCGATGGACACTTACATAATATGTTTTTACATGCAATCAAATTACAGTTGTCATAATTATAGATTTTTTTAACACAATTGCCATTACTAGTTTGAATAATAAATATTCACAACTCTTTACATAAAGGGCAATTTCAACACAATTATAACAATATGTCTTTCACATTTCTTAAAACTAAGAAATTCAAGAAAATACATTCATTGCATGTTTTATTTTGTCAACAAAATTCACTTTAAGATCACTAATAAATAATTATTGTAAGATCTTAAATACAAATTAATCCACATAATTTTCACAGTACTAGATTTGGTTCAAACAAAATTAAAACATAAATCTACAAACTTTTAAATTATCATGATGGATTAATTTACTACGAATTTTGTAATTCAAAGAAAATATTTAACACAAAGTTAATGTATATAAATTAGAAACTTATCTGATGTATACTTGCTTGAGTATACTCTAAATCGTTCTGGATCTGTTTTCAGAACTTGAATACGGGACTAAACTGTAGAGAAAACAGTTTGAACACATCTAAAAATCTCCAGCTATAAGATTCCATCTTTATTGCTATTAACCATCTTTGATCCTGATCTCCTTGAATACTTGTACCAATCCCATGGCTATAATATTGTCGTAGGATTAAAAGTATATAGGTGCAGTAACCAAAGAGATAACAAAAAGACACCAAAGAATAAAGATGAAGAATGATGAATTTTTATTGATAGATTCTTGAATCGAACAATAATGGAGGAATCACAAGATTTAGAGGGGTTCTAGGCGTATTAGACATTGTCCTAAGACAATATTTGCCCCCTCCATGTTGCAATACCGGGTTTGTTTGGTAATTTGTCTCTAGGACATAAAGAACACAAGAACATGCAGCTTGCAATTATTGAATGTTCTCAAGAATTTAGGAATGCAAAAGTTACAATGAAATGCTGCACTAGTTCACCTATTTTTAGGCAACACTTGCAAAAACAAAGAATACAAATTAAATACACAATCCTTGGGTTATAAGAAATAACTACCAAGTAAAAGATTGCCAACTTAATTATTATCCTTTTCTAAATTAATTATTTTATTTTAAAAACTAAAACTTCCAACAGTGACATTTATAATAAAATTACTAAGAAAATTGCAACCTTTTGAAATTACAAAATATGTATATTTTAGCAAAAGACTAGTTAATTTATCCTCTTAAGTCTTACCCAGCTAGTAACATGCGGAAAATAAATAAATAAAGAGAATATTTCAAAGTAAAAGCAAATTATCCGTCTCGAGACAGATGCGCGAACAAAGTCCTATTAATTAGCGATTATTTAACTAAGTGATGTGTAGTTGCGAAGGTTGAAGAACAATCTCAGCTTCCACATTCGAACGTTTCGATGATCAAAAATAGTAATCTTGATAACCGGCCGTTAAACCACATTGATTAAATTGAGTTAAGGAATGTGTATCGACAATTAATAAGCTTGTTAACCTTAATTAATTTCCTCTCTTTCCCAAAAAAATTCATTTTATAATTTTTCAATTCAACAAAATGATACTATATTTTTCGAAATAAAAAATATTTTTTATCCACTAGTAAAGAAATCGACGAAAAATAACTGTGAGTAAATTGAGTATAATACGCTATTATGGTGTGTAAACGGCCGGCCGAGTAATTTGCAATATTGAGCTAGCCCAAGAATTTGTAGAATTAGGAAGGACAAATTTAACTAATTATTAAACTTTTTGAGGGAGATAATTCTAGCTAGTTAACCTTTGAATTCGACTGCTACAGATATAAATGTGAGATACATGGGAACATGAGACTAAAGTGGCAAGCGATTTCCCTTGGTTTATAGAGAAATGAGAATCTTAAAAGAAACACCCCATCCCATGTATTATTAACAAGTTTCACCCAACAAGAAATTCTTCGTTAAGAAAACACTAGGATGTTAGTAGTTACGAAAAGCAAAACACGTTGATTACTGGGAAATACTCACCCCATTTGAAATACAACAACATAATAAACAGAACTATTTAAGTGAGACGGAAGAAGTATCATCCACAATTTGGTCTATTTTAAAATATATGTTATTTGGATAAGTGTTGTCAATGAATGAATAAATGTGCATCAGATTGTGATGTTTACGGAGGAGTTTTGGGGTTAGAAATGCGAATGCAAAAGTGAAATACCCGACCTCATGCACAAATGGCACCAATTGGGGGGGGGGGGAGAAGCAACAATTCTTGGAAAAGAGCAATATAATGCTAATTAACTAAGAAAAGGGATTACTTTCGTTGGGAAATTGTAATTAACTAACCAAATCTCTACCCAATATTAGACAGATCGAATTGTGAAATCTAAAAACTACTTACTCTATGTTGTCGCATAAGTTTTGATGATTGTTGAGTCTAAATGAGATTTTTGCTATTTATAGAGGAATTTGATTTTATTATCGCAAATGGTACGAAAGTCTTTAGTTGTTTCTTTTTTTATCAGAATATATGTACTGTTTTTATTGTCGTATATAGACTCTTTAGCCTTGGGTATAAAATAAATCTCCTCAATATCATGGTATTTAACACGTCAAGAATTTATCTTCTTCTTCCCTATGGTATTTTAGACATGAATTACGTACCATCTCTATTTGGACTGTCGTTTTGTTCCATTTTGATATGTTTTGAAAATCATCTAAAAAAAGAAAAGATTTTTCATTTTGATCTATAACACTTCAATCTCTCCACCATTGGTGGTGCCACCGCCGATCTACCATCAGAAACCGGTGACATTACAAATTATAAAGAGTCTTACAAAAGTGTTTGAAAACTAGCTAGACTGTTATTACGGATCAATTTAAGGATGAAAAACAACGATACAATAAAAACAAATCCAGGAATCCATTGCATGCAAGCCTTAGCTTAGATTACGTGCATGCATTTCTTATTTTATCCGAAACAATTACCATTAAGTGTGAATTATACTCTCTGTTTTTTTCCATGCATATAAACCAATGCCAATGGAGGTAGAACAATCTTTCACAAAAACCACACAGAATTAGGCCATGGAAGTCTTACGTAGTCATCTCCATCATCTTCTAGGGTTTCTTTTGGTTTTAGACGTGTATGGGTTACATTATGTGAATGGAGCTCCGACAAATAATAGGGTTGAATTCCATAATTTCGACCCGAGTGCTGAGCTTTTAGACACTAATAACTATGGAATTAGCGTATTAAATCGTACTAGTTTTCCTGCTGGTTTTCTCTTTGGTGCATCAACTTCTTCTTACCAGGTTGTAATTCTAATGTATTTAATTAATTTAAATTAATGCATGTTTTGTTCCCCGGCCCCCTAACATTTTTTTTTTAATTTTTACATATTTTTCAACTTAAAGACAGAAGGTGGATGGAATGAAGATGGCAAAGGCCTTAGCAATTGGGATTATTTTACACACGTATATCCAGGTCTAAAACAAACCCTTTTTAGCTAGCTAGTTAGTTTGTGTACCGCATTTTTTGAGAACTTACAAATTAAGCATGATTTGGAAATTGCTTCCACAGCACCTTTATTTTGATATACAAGGAACGATGAGATGTGTTAGAAACGCATTTACGCAATTTTTTTGATTCCTTAAAATACCTTTATTTTGTGTGTCTTTTGACGTTCGCTTCTTCCATGCGTTTGTTGTTTTTTTTTAGATATTTCTCGAATTTAATGGAGAACATTTACATCATGAATTAAAGTTGTGGATCTATTTTTCTCAAGGAAAATGTAGAGGGTAAATATAAATTTTGACTATATGTTAATTTTACATGCATGCTCCTTCTCAATTTTGCAGAAAAAATTGCGAATTGTAGCAATGGAGATGTGGCAGCTGACTCCTACCACAGATATAAGGTAAATGGAACTATAACCTACCACAAACATATATAACAGAGAAATTTTTTTTTTTTTTTTTTGTGAAAATATGTAAAAGTCAAACAGCGCATTTTTATCAAAACGAATATGTTAAAAGCGACGAACAAGGATTTTGTAAAAAAATTTAGTTACACAATACGGTTTCAAAATCCAATCAAAACTGTCTTTAATTACTTAACACATCCAAACAGAAAATTTTTGCCTTTCCAGTTCATATTAATTCTGTGTTTTTTGTTTTTGCCCCTTAATGTTGAATATTCTAACCATTTTCTTTACTTGACCTCTCTCCTTTTTCTTTTTTTTTTTTTTTTTTATTTCTGTTATGGTTGCAGGAGGACATAAAATTATTGAACGATATGAACGCAGATTCCTACCGATTCTCTATTTCTTGGTCAAGAGTTATACCTTGTAAGCTATATATAATGAATTAACTTTGTTCGAATTTTCGGTTTAGCTTCATAACTTTACTTTCAAACTTGGTATAACTAATTGTTGACTTCACGATTTGCAGCTGGAAGGATTTGCCAAGGCATAAATGAGAATGGAATCCAGTATTATAATAACCTCATCGATGAACTTCTAGCTAATCGTAAGTAATCTTAATTACTCATTACATCCTAACTTATTCGTATTGCTGTTTTCTTGGTTCATGTTAAATCAAAACTTCATGTATTTGTGTCTTTCGCGCAGAAATAACACCGATGGTGACCATTTTCCACTGGGAACTTCCCCAAGCTCTAGAGGATGATTATGGCGGTTTCTTGAGTCCTGCAATTATGTAAGTCGTTATATTTTCCCGATACTTTTTTTGTCACATATATAATAATTATAGTAATTCGATTTATACAACTATATACATTTGATATTTGAATTCAATATATGCTTTTGCCGTGCGTGAATTAATAAATAGTTCCACTTTTGCAAGGAAGAATGAATAAGGGATTTGATACTTTCTTGCAGATCTGATTATCATGATTATGTAAATTTGTGCTTTGAGAGATTTGGCGATCGAGTAAAGATTTGGATTACGTTCAACGAGCCATTTACCTATAGCATGTACGGTTATGATAGCGGGGAAACTGCCCCCGGCCGATGTTCGTCATGGGTGAATCCGAACTGCGCCGGAGGGGATTCCGGCGTTGAACCATACATTGTCTCACACCACCAACTCTTGGCTCATGCTAATGCAACTCATTTGTACAGGACTAGATATCAGGTCTTTTGAGTAATCCATAAATTTTTATTTTTGTTTGGTTAAAAAAGATTTAAGTAGCAATTTTCAACAAAAATAAAACTCGGATTGATGTTGGTTAACTAAAACATAGAAGTCTTAATTTTTGAATGAGATGTTTTGAGGACATTCCTAATCTGTCATAAAATTTGACTCTACACAGTTTATAATTTGAATGATTAAATTTTGAATGTTGTTAAGGCTGAGCAACAAGGTATAATTGGGATGGCAAACGTTGCTATTTGGATGGTTCCCTTGACAAATAAGCCTAGTGATCAACGGGCAGCTATTCGTGCCCTAGATTTTATATATGGATGGTAAGTATTTTTCTTACTTTGAAATTAATTTTCTCTAAAAAATAAGTTAATTATATACATTTGTCGAACATTAATTATCTAGTAACAACAATCTCATCTTTGGATTTATTTGTTTTTTAAACTTAGGTTTATGAATCCTTTAGTGTTTGGGGACTATCCAGAAGAGATGAAAATTCTGGTCGGCGATCGTCTTCCAAGATTCACCCAAGACCAATCTGAGCTGCTAAAAGGGTCTTATGATTTTCATGCTTTGAATTACTACACTGCCTTATATGCCAGTGCTCCGGTCAACGCTTCTGATCCAAATTGCCCTAGATATTCAACAGATAAACATGTTGACCTTTCTGGTAAATAAAACTCTTCATTTTACTATATGAATAACGTCTATTACTCTTCAAATGACAAACCGTTCTTCTCCCATATATTTTACCTGGCCCTCCATAATAGATCAATAATCTACTTTGTTATATTGTTGTAATTCAACAAAATGGACTATTTTTTCTTGATAGAACGAGTATTTTTGTTTATTTATTTATTTATTTATTTTTTATCTTTTTGAGTATGCTTGTTCATTAACAGAAATTTTACCTTTTATTTTTTATTTATTACAGCCACTCGCTTTGGAGTGCCTATTGGTGAACAGGTAAATTCTTCACAAATATTCAATATATTATTCCCCTAGTCCTAATTATAAAGTATAAATTTGAACTGACTGTCATTTAATTAAATTTGTGTCTTGTAATTAGTAAAATTGGAGAGAGTATTACATTTCTACTTGTTTCAAAAAGAAACAACTGATCTGCCTTTGGAAAGGAGTTAATACGACTGTTTTATGGCTGATTTTGGTAGTAAGGAGTATCAGATAAGATTAATAGTTTTACAAATAATGAATCTCCTTTCTAGCAAAGAAAAACAATGAAGACACTATATTAACTATCACTGTTTTAAATTGGTTTCATTCAGGCTGCCTCAGATTGGCTTCATATATATCCAAGAGGAATTTATCATCTCCTTCTCTATATAAAGAGGAAATATGGAAATCCAGTAATTTACATTACTGAAAATGGTACACCTCTTGTTTTTCTCAACCAATCAAAACCATGTACAAATAAATTTTACATCGTAATTAATTTCTAATCAGTTGAGTACAAAAATAAAATTTCAGGAGTTGATGATGTGAATAATGCGTCACTACCTCTCGTTTTAGCTCTTCAAGATCGTTTCAGAATCCGATATCACTATCGCCATCTCCAATTTATCCGAAGGGCAATCGAGTAATTGAATTATTCTCTTGGAACTAATTATCTATTTCTTTCGATAACCATGAAGTTATCATTATTGTTTTCATCGTCATTTTTAGTATTATTCTTTTTTTCTTCTTGGCAGAAAGGGCGTTCAAGTAAAAGGATATTATGGATGGTCATTGATCGATAATTTTGAGTGGCAAGATGGTTACACATTTCGGTTCGGGATCAATTACGTTGATTTCGAAACTCTGCAAAGATTCCGCAAACTCTCTTCCTTATGGTTTGAGAGATTTCTCTCTCGTATGAATTGATAAATTCCCCCAAAAAGAGCTTGATTGTTGAAAAAAAACAAAAACCAATAGTTTGACTTGAGTAATATCATTATATTATTATTGTAAATCAACTCTGTTTTTTGTAAATATATATGTTACTAATCCAAAGATTAGTGTACTAAGAATTTCATTCTTTTCAACTACAGATGATCTAATTAAGAATTCAATTATGATTTCTCAAAAAAAAAAAAAGAATTTCATATTTCATAAATAATTAATTATGTTTTATTTATCCACAATTAGGATGGAAAAATTTCATATTTTACAAATATGTTAAAGTTAAATGAAAAACAAAATCAACAGTAAAATATTTTGATCAAAATGTTACTATTTAATAGACATCCTCCGATTTTATTGATTAAAACAAGTGATGCAATATTATGTCTGACACGAACAAGTAGCGTGATATTCCAGACAATTTTTGTTGGATAACCTACTGACTAAAAAGTACAAATCTTTTTATCTTAGGATGGAAATTTTGGGTTGAAATAAGTAATTAATTTTTCAGATAAGCACTTTAAGAAATTCACTAAATTCATTTAGGTGATAAGCACCAAAAAAGGTCACTGTTGTAAACCACTGTTATAATTCAAGGAAAGGATTAGTTTCAGAACCAAAAAGGACGGTTAAATACAACAGTAAAGTAGTAAACCACTGTTTTTTTCTTTATTAATTTTACATTTATCTGTATAATTATTTGAAATATTATTAATTAATTAGGACAATTAACGGAAAAAACGAAGAAAGAAAAAGGAAAAAAAAAAAAAGAGAAAAACGCGCAAACACACACGGGCAAGATTTTCTGCCGACCTTACTCCACGTTTTTTTCTCCACTACTCTCTTTGACTTCCCTCAACACATTTTTTTCTCTCTAACTAATGCTCCGTTTCTGATCCATGGCTGACCCGAATCGACCCGTCACCGGCTACCCCGCCGCGAACGCCAACGGCCACCCACCGCCGCCGCCGAACTCCAACACCTCTTACCCTTATGCCGCCCCGCCACCGCCGCCGCCGAATTACTACAACCCGCAGCAGTATTACCCGGCTTACCAGCCCGACCCTCAAGCCGTCCGCCGTGCTATCTTCCTCCGCCGCGTGCTCGCCATCATAATCGCCGTCTTCATCATCATCGGCACCAGCTTCTTCATCACCTGGCTTGTTCTCCGCCCCCGTCTCCCCGAGATTCGCGTCGACTCCCTCTCAGTCTCCAACTACAACCTCTCCGGTTACCAGCTCACGGCGAATTTCCAAATCGGCATCACTGTCCGAAACCCTAACTCGAAAATTAAGGTGGATTACGACCAGGTTGATGCGTATGTTTACTCCAAGGATTACAGACTTGCTGAGACTTCTCTTGCCCCTTTTAGTCAGCCAAAGAAGAATGAAACCTCGATTAGGGCAAGCGAAGCGGCGGTGAACACTTACGTGGATGGCGATCTTGTCAGTGATATGAATGGGCAGAGGAGCAGGAGTGGGAGGGTGAATTTCAATGTGAGGTTGCTGATGTCTTTGCGGTTGAAAGCTGGTGCTTGGTTTTCTAGGAGGAGGTATTTGAAGGCCTTTTGTGGGGATTTGTCGGTTGGGATTGCATCGAATTCTTCAAACGGAAGCTTGATCGGCGGACCAGGGCAATGCAATGTAGGAATTTGAGGGATTCGTGACTTGTTCCTTGAGGTGAATATATGGATATCTGATAGTACTAAAATGTTTGTTTCAGGTCTTTTGGTAGGATTATTTCCTCGCTTTCAGTAGTTCGATTAATTCAATGCAAATTTTTTAGCACTTTAACACTGTCGATCAGAAATGTAATATGTGTAGTTGGATACAGTGAAGTAGGAAAATTAAGGTTCCGTGCTATTTTATGACGGGATGTCCTGATAGCCCATTTTCTGATGGAATATAACTGATGAGTGATGGTTGTTCACGTTTGTACAGTTTGCTTTATTGATGTTTACCTTTGATCTGAAAATGTTGTTGCTGATTTTGGGGTTTTTTCCTATTAACATAGTATTTTGTGATACATATGCAACATTAAGTGCTTGACATCAACTGTTAGAACTCTGTTTTGTTGCTGCTATGTAAAGACTCTCATGGATGTTCAACCCAAATAGTTTCGGCCTGATATTTAACCATTCTAACTTGAGTTCATGCAATGTGCCGAACTTTCAAACTTTCCTGATGCTATTATGGGTTTATAATCCAAGAGATGGCTGAAATTAGTGACTTAGCAAGATTAATTTGCAGAGCTTGAATTCTAAACTTTGGAAATCAGTACTAATATAATGCATGTAAAGTGACAAACTGGAGTGAGTGCATACAGGGATATTTCTTTGTTACTCTGTTCTGCTACTTGATTGCCCATCATGGAAGAATGAGGTATAAAGTTTTTGCGCACCAAATTGATTTTGTAAGGGGAACCAGCAAAATGCTACCCGTAGTAAGCGTAGCATCAACTGTGTCACTTTGATGGTGAGGTCAACTGCTTTTGATCTGAATTTGTTTTACTTGTATAGCATGTGTGCTTGCTTTCATATCTAAGGTGGTTTTGTTGGCTGTTCCGGCTGAATAACAAAAACTATGGTGGTGGTTTTGTCGTATGTTTGATTATTTTATCTGCCTTAAACTTCTCTTGTCCATCATATCTCTGTTTTCGGGAATAACATGGTGAAGGTCCTCTGTGTCTTTGAGAAAACAGTTATAGTTCTGAAAATTTTATCATGCTGAAAAACTCTGAACCTTAGGCTTATATTGGTGCTTATTTCTGTATAAAAGTATATGAGAGATGTTCAGTACTATACAGTTTTTGTTTTACTTTTCTTTGTGAAAGAAATTTGTTCTACGTCTCATAGTATCAAGCCCTTCCTAGCTAGAATGTTCTATTGACAATCATGGTGAATCTTTGATGAGTCTCTGCATCCATCTATCGCACTTCTTTGAACTAACCAGGACTGATACTGTTCACATAGTGACATGGTAACTGGAATGGAAGTGTTAGCTAGTAGTATTAAGTAGCTTGTGAAGTTCTCTTTTAGAGAAGTTAGTGCAAATACATCATGAAAGTTCTTGTTGCGTTCTGTTGTATTCGACAACTGCTTATCTTATTGCTGCTAATGTCGTGATGATTTCATGCATAGTGATGAAATTTGTATGTCCATTTGTATATTATTGGTCCCCAGGCCGGATTTCATAAATAGTTAGAGCAATACCGGACACTGGGTAAAAGAAATTAGACATCAGTGGGCGCTCATGTTTGTTTGAGGACTGAGTATTGGTATGCCAGATAATGACCACTATGATCCTCGTGAGGCTTACTTACCCAAACTAAGGCCCCTAGTGAAAACCCCAAGCAAAAGTCTCCTCTGTTCAATCATTTGTACTCATGATTTTAGGTTTCTTTACCTACTTGGTGGTGTTCAACATAATTGAAGATAGCCGCTGGTTGATATTTATGGATTCGGAGGACTAAAAGGAAGAATTCCTGGTGCTCCCGTGGATTTGTTCTCTCAATTGTCTTTCTTGCACATTTGTTAACTTTTGGATTGAATTATGCCGTGTAATCATCTACTTTGTGCTAAATCCTTGATGTCTACATATATTTGCTGGCAGTACTCTCTAGTCCTTCTATACACATTCATTTACTGCTGGCTTTTAGGTTACTGATGTAAGAAAGGAAGGAAAGTGTCTTTTCCACTCAAGGGATCAAAACCCCTTTTGGTCCTGGTCCACTCGACCTTCAGTCCAAAGATTCATTTCTTCCTTTTTCTTTCAGGTGAATTGTTGTTCCTTGCCCTCTTTTCCATCGGCAATTTTCGGCATTAGGTTAGAGCCATCAAGTTTCTATGTCCATACTTTTTTTTTTTTTTATCTCCATCGAAAAGCGGCACTTTTTATGAGGCGTTTTATGAAGATCTGAGAAAAGTAAAGAGAAACGAGACAATTACATTTTGGACTATCTAGCCTTCAACATGTATGTGAACAGCAACATATATCCTTCTATTCTGAGGTATCGAAAAGGCTTATAGTTGTCGTCGGAGCCAAGAATTGAACAAATGCTCCTTAGCTACGAAACAACAAAAGGCGTGAAGCTTGAAACCGAATACGGCACAGGGGATTCCCAATTACCTGCCTAGAATTGAACAGCAGGCAGGTGGTATTATATAGAGAAGGGAGGGAAAAAAAAATAAAATAAAGAACTGATAAAAGGAATTAAAAAGTAAATGGTAAATCACCTAATCGATATTTTATTGATTGAAATGTGGTTAGTCGGCTATAACGTGTGTGTGTGTGTGTGTGTGTGTGAGACTTGGTTTTTACTCCAATATTAGTAATTGGGTGTAATTTGACGTATCTCTTTTTCCTAGTCTTTTCATCTTCCAATTATACATTTTCCACACAAGAATGATAATGACGGATTTCCGATGAGTGATTCTCACTCTTTCAATTACTAGTACAATGTTATGATCTATATAGTACGTACAATGTAAAGTTCATGGAATTTTGCATGAATTAACTTCGAAGCTAAGGCAAATATTTTTGACGTATATGTTAGCTTTGCCCGGTAAATTACAGTTTTTGTCTCGATGTTCGGAGCATCATACAGATTTATCACAACTCGTCTCGAGTTTTCACAACTCATCATTTTTTTATTTCGATTATTTTCACTCCCTATTATTTTATTGTGTATACATTCTTTTATTGTTTACTCATTCTATTTTGCGCTAGCATTAGAGAGCAATGTTCTTTACGTATTGTGAGGGATGTTATATTGGTCGCAATACATTAATACAACATGTTAATGCGGTCTCAAAGTGGAATATTAATGAAAATTTTTTAGGGAAAATATCAAAAACACCCACGAAGTTTGATCCATTATCAAAAAACACCCTCAACGTATGAAAAATATCAAGAACGTCCCTGAATTCTATGTCCGGCCATCAATTCAATCTTAAGTCATCAGAATGATGATGAGAACTGATGATGTATGCAAAAAAAAGCTTGTAAGGACGATGATACCCTCCAATAAATGGATTAAAAAGAAAATCTTCAGTAGCCTCTAAATCAAACCGGCAAATTGTATCACCTCAACTAAGCACCACCACAAAACACCAACCCCTCCGGCAGGCTCAACACCGCGCGTGATTTATCACCACTATCGATACTCAATTTCATTATTTTCGACCTCTGTTAACAATAAATTTTTACCCAAAATGAAAGAGAAAAATATCTAGTCCAACGCCACAAATAATCTGAGCAAACTTTCACTAATAGCAAACCTCAGCCACAAAGCAAATTCATTTAATGGTGCCAAAAAGTAACAACCACATTGCCAATTTATTCCTAAAGATCCCGGCTAGAATCCACGCACAATAAAAGTGAATAAAATGACATCCAGAATTCAAAATTTTGCAAAAATAAAAACTTAGTTTTAGCAAAATCAAAACTCATCAATTGATGGCTTTTTGTGAAACCCGCAACACGAATCCAATTTTTGGTGCAAATGTCTCCGTGTCAAGCCACGGTAACCGAGACGAGTTGGACTGTAAATCTGAAATCATACGGCTAACCGAGACAACTATTTTTTCATGGAGGCGACGTTGATATTAGCAAAAAGAAAAAACTTTTTACGATTAACTAATAGAACAATAAACCTTTAATTATGCAATTATCTTCCTATTAATTGTGCTTAATCTCTAGGAGAGATTAGAAGTGGAGGAGAGGGGAGGGATAGAGCAGAAGGAGTGAGCTCCCGGCGTGAGAGGATGGATCATGATAAGTTTTCTTCTTTTTCTTTTTTTTTTTTTCTCTTTTTTTTAAATGGTGGGTTTTGTTTTGTTTTTTTTTTTCTTTTCGATCATGAACATCGTAGGTTTTTTGGTAAGTACTAAAATAAAATATAGGTTGGCCGGAATACGTTTGGTTTTTTCGTCCTGTCCTATTACTTGCCATTTTGACTCCTAAGCCCGGTTGGTCAAGGGGGATTTTTGATATTTTTGATACGTTGAGGGTGTTTTTGATAATGGACTAAACCTCGAGGATGTTCTTGATATTCAACCAATTTTTTAAAATCAATTATCAAAATGACTAAAAGAATCCGAAAATTGAAAATGTTTGGTACGAAAACTCACATTTTAATCGATTGGGAGGAATCAATTGTATAATTCCCCTAAATTAATGTCGGGACGATGACTGTAGTATATTATAAGTCATTTTAAGTCTTTATTATAAGTCATTTTAATTTCGTCATAGAATTAACCTTGGATGTCTTTTTAATTGTAAAAAGATTTTAAATATATATTTCAAATTTATTGGGTTTTTCCAATTATTATGAAATATTTTTAAAATTTTTGTTCCAATTAAAAAGATATCTTAGGTGAAACCTAGGCCGAAATCAAAATGCCTTATAATAAGGATCCAGGGAAGAAAGCATATATCAACAACTCAACTACCAAATCAACCCAAAAACATCAATTTTGATTTTCTTACTAACTTCAAAAACACATTTCCACTATGACTAGTAAGAAAGTTTCTACATAAAGTCAGGGCGTACTTTCCCCCGGAGCGAACAATATTTGGAATTGCTTTTGTTCTTTTTCCGGGTCACATTTTTGGCTGAGTACATTATACCCATCTCCATCAAATATCGATGTGAAGATTATGGTTGTTACATCTACTGAAAATGATTGTGCTTCCTCTGATCCACATCTTTTTCTTTTCCCTTTCTTTGGTTTTTGGCATTGTCACTTCTATTGGTACAATTGGTATGGCTGCAGATTTTTACTTGCTACTTTTGTCTACGTTTCTCAAAGTGATGATCAATTTTAAGAATTATAATTACTGAAGGGTAACAAAGTATTCCAATCGATTTGGTAAAAACTAAAAAAAAAAAAAGATAATAAAACTCTCTTTATTCCATAAAAATAATAATCACTTTGTTCTAATTCCTCCGGTTCTTATTATAAGATATTTTAATTTGTCATAAGTTTCACCTAATATATTTTTTTAATAAAAAAATTTTAAAAATATTTCTTAATAATTAGGAGAATACAATTAATGTGAAATGTAGTTTTAAGATTTTTGTCTCAATCGAAAAAAACGTAATATGTAAAATTTATGACAAATCAAAATGTCTTACAATAAGAACCGAATGGAGTATTATTTATTTTATGTATATCTTTATTACTATGTCTTAACATGAAAAATTGGATGGATTATTAAATTGACACAGATGCAATAATTTTTCAGAAATTCTACTAAGATAGTAACTGAATTAACTGGTACAGTAACTTATAAGTATATAATTTTTTATCAAACGAGTGCCGATATTTTAAATAAGGTGAAAAGGAATTTTACTCTCAGTTAATTGTTACGTTCAAGGCGAATCCCAAGGTCCGCCAAAATTTGAAAATGCTCTTCATCCAAAATTTATGAATAACTAAGCATTAAGACATAATAGTTCACTAAATAGTCTCTCTTCCCCACTCCCCTCTTAAAAATCTTGTATGTACTTAATTTTTTAGCGCATGTAACCAATAAAACATAGTCATTTGTGTTTTTGGCCCTATGTATGTTTGTTTTCTTCGTAAAATTTGCACCCTCTCCTCTATTGTACCAAAACGTAATACAACAGTTGCACTGAATATTTACACCTCCTCTTTGTTTTTCCTCTCAAGCTTGACTATTTTATTGACTGGGTATGCACATTAATAACAAAAGGCAAAAAGTAATCTTCTTTTATAAAAATTACTTTTCTCGAATTATTTGGCCAACAAATTTTAGTTTCTTTGCTGAACGTAACGTAAATATATATTTTCTCTGTCTCAAAATTATTATCCAGTTTGTAATTTCACTTTTAGTACAATTTGAATTAGAAATAAAAATTTAAACTAAACAATAATTATGGGATGGAGGGAGTATCATTGATTTTGTGATAAGGTTGCTTCTTCTCCTCCTTGTTTTTTCTCTCCTTTATTAATAGTTGTGGTGAAAAGAAGATATGTGAACTTTTATGAGATGCGGAGTTTTTTCAATTTTGCTTAATGTGGTGGTTGGAGTATATTCTTGGGGACTTCCCGGCAACTTTCAAAGGGGACCAATGTGGTTCAGGATTGGTTAGAATCGGGAAACTTTTCCCACTGTAAAAAATAATCCAATCAAATTATATACTTCCTCCGCGATAAATAATAATAATAATAATCCACTGCATTTATTTATTTATTTTGTGAACAACTCTCTTGTGTGATTATTTCAATCCAATAAAGTGGATAAATTTCGGGATGGAGAGATGATGTCTTTATTTTCTCGGTCTATGATGTATTCCTTGAAATCTTGTGATGAGGTTGCAGATACTCTCAATTTAATTGTAATCGTGGTTCGGTTTATTACGTGATACTCTCTCCGTTCCAAAATAAGTGTTATTCTGGAGTTTATGTACAGTTTAAGAAAACATTAAATAGGATAACTAAATTACTAGAATATTCTCAACCAACCCCATTAAAATAAATGCTCACCAATAATATTATTTCTTTTGAGGATATGTTTGGAAATTTTTGACAAAAAATACATTGGAATTCGAAAACGATACTTATTTTAAAATTTCTCAATTTTGCCAAAACGATATTTTTTTGGAATGGAGGGAGTACGCAATAATATTGAGAATAATATTTGTTGATGCAATTTTATTTCTCAACAAAATCAACTTTTCTCGAATCCGGTTGATTAAATGCAGGAATGCATGCAGCGTAAATTCTATCAGTTTTCAGGTTTATCAAATATCGTGATGATTTATTATACTAGCAGCCTGGTAACGTACATCAGGAAATGTGCATTATGGTAACGTACATCAGAAGGGAGAGCTCTAATTCCTATGAGGCAACAATTTTGAAGAAATGTCGCGTCATTTTGGTCACAAAAACTGATCATGTAGTACATAAACATAGCAATTGTTTTTTTTTTAATGGTTAAACGAATTTTACATAATATAAAAATTAGATAGCTTACACTTCACTCCTGCCAACATCATGTTACTAAATCATTTATGAAGTTAATTTTAGGTTATTAACGCTACTTTATTCCAAATTGTGATGCATTTGCAAGTTTAGCATTAGCCATCCATATAAAAAAAAAAAGAAGAAGATCTTTTTCCCCATATTGAAAGAAGACAAATATAAACACCTATGCCATGTTTTTTTAAGGTAAAACGTAAATTATATTGGTGCTCATTATTTTTAAGTTTCACATATTCGCTCGTATCTACAGTCACCTATCAACACTACAATACTGCACTCTATCGAATTACAGACTCATAACTACTCTGACCACTCCCCTAATTCTATTACCAAACACCTACGTCATTACATTATGTAATAATTTTTCCTAATGTCAAGGTGAAGTCAAAATTAACATTTCACCATCAATGTTTGAAGAGGGATTCAGGAGGCGATAGAACCGCATGGAATTGAGCTTTAAACTCCATACCTCTATATATATATATATATATATATATATATATATATATATATTTGGTATATTACGCATATCGTGTCTAAAATTATTGTTCCAACTAATCAGAATTCGAGTAGGTAGATTCCTTTTAGGAGACAAAACACTCTAGACTGTATTTTAATAAACATGACTTTGACCAAAAAAAAAAAAAAACAACATGCATGGTTTTGACCAAATTACGTTTTCCTACTAAAAATTAATTGTCGTGCACGCAAGTAAACACCATTAAGTATATTTTTGGTCATCGAATACTACTAGGAACTTCTAGATAGAAGTGCTGTTTGTCCCAAAATCCTCATGCACTAAAACACCATATGCCATTGATACAGTAAAAAAAAAAAAAACTTACAAATAGTGACTATATATGACTCGTTTCATGAGAAAAATCCATATATGTAATTAAGCAGGATTAGTTAGTTGTAATGTATATTTTCACTGTCCAATTTAATATAATAAAATAAACTATGAAAATGAAACGGATGAATATAATTTAACCATTTTCGGGGCATTACTGAGAACGATGTCATTCATTGAGAGATAGAAGTTAGAAAAGAAAGAGGGGCCATGACATAATTCTTGAATCTTTGAAGCCTTTGCGTAGAAGCATCTTCCATTAAAAAAGATGAGGTTTGCAACACCCAACAAATCACACTAACAAACAATAGTCGCTAGCTTTATTCCCACTCTCCACCATTTCATCATCATTTTGTTGCATGCACATTTTTAGATTGCCACCTTCACTCTTCCTCACACTCACTACTAAGTGTGGAATATTTAGTGTTCAAATCTCATACAAAATCAATTAATAATTAGGTAAATCAACTTCTTGATTTGGATTTTTTGGGTGGTGGAATTTGCTTTATTATCCAGTCATTTTGGAAAAATTCAGTAATTATTGAAAGCATTAATCCAATCACCACCTCAAAATCGTATCTGATTTAGGTACATTTTATAGCTTTATTATACCAATCGTCGGACTATAAACTCCAATGTTCTTTATCCAAACAATAACAAATTGACAACCAATTTAAAACTTTTTTTTTTCAGATGGAAAAAACCATGGGATTGAAAATAAATTTAGGACACTTTAATCCAGTGCAAAACCTTTTCATGATTTCATCAGTATAGTTATCGTCCCATTGTGGCTCAAAGCATGATGAGACTAATAATTTTCAAGTTTACGTAAACTTGTTTCCAGTTTCCACCTACTTAAGCAATAATTACTTACCTACAAATAATGCACATTACTTGACACCTGCCTAGAATGATAGTAGAAGCTACTAATATTTGCTCCCTCTTACAAATTCATCACTTCAAGTCTCTAATCACTCACAAAACTAAATCTACATTTCTTCATGTAACAAATCTTGCATTAAATTTCCACATATAAAAGATTCATTTTTGTAAGTTCTTCCCATAAAAGCCAATCTCGAATTCCAAGTCTCATCTTTACAATCAAATTCACCCCTCCCAATTTCAAATCTTCGTATGCCTCATCTTCATAAGCTCTCTTTAAAAACTCCACAAAACAACTTCACCTGAACAAACCAAAACCCATAGCCATTTTTCCCGACCACCCGAACCACCACCGCCCGGTACGTTAACAATGTCGGCCAAGGACTGCGGCCACCACGAACACGAGCGGAAGAAGCTGTTCCGCCGCCTGATCATCGCGGCCGCCGCCTTGATCGTCGCCGTCCTCTTCATAATCCTCCTAGTATACCTCATCCTCCGCCCCGCAAAACCGCAATTCATCCTCCAAGACGCCACAATCTACTCCTTCAACGTATCCCAGCCGCCGTCGCCGCCGCCGGCCTTCCTCACCTCCACCTTCCAGATCACGCTCTCTTCCCGCAACCCCAACGACAAGATCGGCGTCTACTACGACCGCGTCGACGTCTACGCCGCCTACCGCGGCCAGCAGATCACGCTGCCGACGCTCCTCCCGCCGACGTACCAGGGCCACAAGGATGTCGCCGTTTGGTCCCCGTTCTTGTTCGGAGAAAACGTCCCGATCGCGCCGTTTTACAGCGACGCGTTGACTCAGGACCAGTTCGCGGGGACGGTGATGATTAACATCAGGGTGAATGGACGGATAAGATGGAAAGTTGGGACCTTCATTTCCGGGAGGTATCGTCTATTTGTGAATTGTCCGGCTTATATTAACATCGGGAAATGGAAGAGTGGCAATATCGTAATTGGACCTGCTCCTCCCGCCATGAAGTTTCAGTTGGTACAGAATTGCCATGTTGATGTTTAACACACAAATGTTGAGTTCTTCTTCTTCTAATGTTTCGGGTATAATTCAGGTATCAATTTCTAGTTAATTCCTTTCATTAATTAATCAATTAGTATATGCGCGTTTTCCTTCACGGTTCATTAAAAAAATTAATTTTAAATCTTGTATTAGTTTGAGATTTATGTACAAATATTCAAGATGGCGGTGTTACAGGAAAAGGAAAAAAGGGTCAAGAAATTGTGGATTAGTACTATATTATATTATTGCTATTGTGCCAATTTATTTATTCAGATATTCTATCATCTTTTGCATATCCAACAATGGATAAAGGAATCTTCTATTGATCCACGTAATTTATTCTTTCTTAATCATGCATCCAATAAAGTCCTTGCATATTCGAAAGTAAAAGGCTTCATTCCCTTTCCATTTATTTTGTCAAGGGGAGAAGGAAGAACTAAAGTAGGGATGGAAATTCCTGATTAAATAAAATGTCATGAATTGAATTCCCTTTTCATTTCCCCTTTTTGTTTTATCTCATTATTAGGAGTATGTTTTGTTACTGTGAATAAAATGTCAGTTTAGTAAATTAACTCGTAAATTTTGGTTCAAAGACTTCTATTTTGGGATAATTTTAGATATTTGTATGGGGAAAACTGGAAAAGTTGAATGCCATGAATTGAACACATTTCACTGATTATAAATATTTTTTCCTTAAAATATTGTCTAATTTATATTTTTATTTCTAATATAATTTAAGTTAAAACTAAAATTCAAACTGAACAATAATCAAAAGACAGAAGGGATTTTTTTTTCCCATCTCAAATCCACCACAACCTGTTGGAATTCTACTTCAAGAATAGTGGACAACAATGGCTCCACTAGATCAAAGAACAAGAGGAAGAATTTATAGTTAGGACAAAAGAAAGTTTTGTCTCCAAGTCACAAGTAAACTTGCTTTCCTTTAGGCTAAATTCGCTCACTATACAGTGCAATTGTCTAGGTGAATTCCCTATGAGATAAAATGGAGATCATGCTGTTTCACTATGCATTTTAGTGAACCAACAACCTGATACAAGGATAAGAAATGTCATTGAAAATATTCCAAATATTTGGTGATTTAATTGTACACTAAAAGCATCCAAATGATCTATATTTATAGAGTTTTTAGAGAAAACTCTTGAGGATTAGACGTAACCCTTGGTTATGGTCATAGACATAACTTTTCGTTAATGTCTTTTCATATGGAGTCCATATGCACAACCTATTAATTGTGTCTCTACAATATATTAAAAATACCCAATAGGCACAACATATTAATTATGCCCATACAATATATTGAAAATGACTCCAACAATCCCCCGCCATTTTCAATATATTGAAAATGATTTCTAAGTGCATCCAGAATAATTCTAGCAAAACACATGCAGAAAATAATGGTGTCGTTAGACTTGAACCACTACCTTAGTGTCGGTTTTATAACTTGTAGTACAGCCCGGTAGACTAGCTTTGAACCGTGCGTACATGTTACAAGCCACTATTGTCAACACACATAAGTTTCTTTCTCCTCAACTTGCCTGCACCTTACCAGTGCGTATGGTACGTAAGGTCTTGTATTCATATCTCTTCATGAATGTTAACAAAGCCAAGTTCCATGTTTTGTGGATGCCCAGTCCGACATTCATATAGGCAAACTTCTTAATGCTCCCGCCATTTTGGCATTTACAAGAGTTTGTTAAGAGTCAATTCTCAACCTGATACCCAGCGCGAAATATACAACACTAACTATTTTGAGATAAATATTGTAGTGCTCAATTACTTGTACATTGTACTATCGTTCATTGAATTCAAGACTAAAGTATTTACTAGCGTTGAATTGGGGTTCCAATGCAAGTAATCATTTCTGGACTTTACACATATCTCTTTAAGTCATTCAGTCTTTAGACCAAATGTCTTTCAATAGTCCTTACTTATGAGTTTGTTAACTCAAATTTTAAGGATCATCTCTTCACATGAGTCTATTAACTCAAATCTTGTTAAGAATTTCAATTCTTAACATGAGTTCATTAACTCATCTTGTGATCACAATTTAAATAATACTGCATACAAATTGTTAATTAATATGATCATATTTAGGAAATTGAAGAACCAGTCTGTTCTTTCAAACTTCCAATCAACCCAACAATGAAATCATCTTCCCTAATATAAAGTTTCAAAATCACCATGTCACGACTTCTTTCTTCATATTCCTGGAAAAATTAGCTCCATTTCGCTTGTTACAAGCATTTTACACTTGAGCTCTTAGTGTCATTCTTCGTTATAATATGGTAGCTTTCCTAATACCTTCATTGTTATTTTAGTTGATATGATTTCGAACATGGACTTGATGCTTTGTCCATTTTCCACAATGTGGACTTAGGTCAAGGATCATTCTCCTTTTTAACTTTAATAGAGAATTTTTCATTCTCTTCAAACTCTTTTATTGTATATAAAGAGTTCCAAGTTTTCAAACATATAATCTCCTTTTTTTCTTTGAGATCTCATGGAAACTTTAAAGTATTGACATAAATAACTCAAACATATAGTAAAACATGAATTTCAAATCGTATATTAACACATATGATATAAATTCATAACTATATCACTATTGTCATACTAAAGTACATAGTGAATTTCTTTTACATGCAAAAGTTCATGATTCTACAACTATGTTCACTCAGGTATAGATCTCAACACTACGTTCATGAATTTATTAAATATATACATACCTTGAACTTGGAATGTCATAATTCACAAGTAAAATATAATTCTTACTTTGATGTCGAGGTCCATTGTATCCTATCATTACCCTTTCCATTAAATCCAATGATCTGCAACATTTTTAACAACGAAAATGTCCTTGCTTGATTCTTCAAGTACTAGCCATTGTTTAACAGGAATATTTAGCCTAAAGATTGTTAGAATTCTACTTCAAGAATAGTGGACAACAATGGCTGCACTAGATCAAAGAACAAGAGGAAGAATTTATGGTTAGGACAAAAGAAAGTTTTGTCTCCAAGTCACAAGTAAACTTGCTTTCCTTTAGGCTAAATCCGCCTACTATACAGTGCAATTGTCTAGGCGAATTCCGTATGAGATAAACTGGAGATCATGTTGTTTCACTATGTACTTTAGTGAACCAACAACCTGATACAAGGATAAGAAATGTCATTGGAAATATTCCAAGTATTTGGTGATTTCATTGTACGCTAAAAGCATCCAAATGATCCATATTTATAGAGTTAGAGAAAACTCTTGAGGATTAGACGTAACCCTTGGTTATGGTCCTAGACATAACTTTTCGTTAATGTCTTTTCATATGGAGTCCATAGGCACAACCTATTAGTTGTGTCCCTACAATATATTGAAAGTACCCAATAGGCACAACATATTAATTGTGTCCCTACAATATATTGAAAATAACTCCAACATAACCTGTACCACCAGTCTTGTGGTGATTGATTGCCCGGTGCTGCCGTCGTGGCCGAGAAAATTAGTGGTGGTGAAATGTTAAAACGTGTTTTTCCCCGCTTCAATACAAAAATGCTAAAAAGGTGTCCTTGACAAACACGTAAAACAAAACCCAATCGTTTATCCAATTCTTAACCAAAGCCGTATTCATTTTTTTTTAAAAAAAAATTTGGTACAAACCTTATTCTTTTTCAAGTAGTACTTATGGAGAGCAGTGCTCAATGCACTTCCTTCAAAGGAAGGCTTACAAAGCGGGGAGTTGAGGTAGGTACTTCTTGTTCAAGATGTTTCACATAGGAGGAGAATAACCTTCACTTGTTCTTCAACTGCTCTATATCACAAGCAATCTGAAGTTTTGTTTATCCTCATTTTCAAACCATTCTCAATGAAAATGCTTAGTCACTCCTGACTTGGTTTGTTGACTGGATATACATATTTCCCTCAAATGATGATATAGATTTTTTTCTGATAACCTTCTGGAGAATCTGGATCGAAAGGAATGATAAAGTATGGAGGGAACAAAGCATGGACCCAGTCTGGTCATGGAGATTAATTCAACAAGAATTTCAGGAGCATAAAGAAAACCAAAAATAGAAATTACGTATGGAGGGATCAACTGCTATAAATCCTACACAATCTGGAATTACGCCACAACATCATCACCAAGGGATAGTTTCATTTAATGGCTCTTTCCATCCAACCACTAGATCAGCAGCAGAAGCATGGAAAATTATAGCAGCCGCATGAGTACTTATGCAAATTAAAGTAGTCTCAATATCGGCCTTATCTGCCTTCCAAACTGAGGCCATGACTTGTTTGCTTCCATTGCAGGAAGCATCAGCACTTGGATTACAATCGATCCAAGTTCACACGGATTGTGAACTATTATCCATCAATCAACCGCTTGCTCGAATTCTTTTAGAGGTACAACAAGTTGTTGCAACCCTTCGTAATTTAATAGCTACGTTTCCAATCATGTAATTTTATTAAAGTAAGTAGGAACGATATTAGTGAATTACATAATCTTACTTATGCGAAACAACGTTGTAATAGTTTAAAAACGTAATTTTAATATACATGTACCCTTAAAAAAAATCTGTGACCAGAACCATAATTCGGAAAAACCTGAATACTTTGTGAATAGCAACATATTGATTATTCGTTTATGCCTGCACTGCGTATGGGACAATCTTTGAGTTAACTACTGTTTTACTTCATAGTAGGTAATTCAGTGATATGATAAATTGATAATTAATTAATGAGACAAACAAGAATAAAGCCGTTAAAAAAAATGGCTAGTAAATTGTAAATTTCTGACTTGTATAAAAAGAATTAATTTCATAACGTAGTCAAGCAATATGTGTATTCATGCATGGAGACATACGTAAAGATGTATAGTGAATTGACAATAGTTAGGAAAGGTCAAATGTATCATAGGCCTACATAACAAGTCGTGTGTGACCAAAAGCCCAACAAAAAAATAATTTGGAATGAGCCTCAAAAGAAGAATAGAAATGGGAATTGGGAGAGTAGTAAATATGATCTCTACGTATGGCACGGGATGTAATAAATATGCATAATTTAACTTTCAACCGTATGTAACGTAATAGATTAGTACCTTTACCATAATAAAACAGGTACTTTTAACAAAAAAAAAAAAAAAAACCTCCCCCACCCCAACACCCCCAAACAAATTCTGTAACAATATTGTTAATGTTAAAAGACGTGTGTTAATTGACCTTTCATTGATCTGTCGGAATAATCGTCGCCAAACAACATGTCTAAGAGGTTAACATGACTGGTGATCGCGAATAAAGTTTTACAATTATATTGTGAAAAAGACTTTGTCATAGTATTTTCATTTTCGAAGCTTTCCTGATCCTCCTTTCTATAATGTCCCAAAAATAGCAATACAACTGTTTCACCTTCTGGCTAAATGTTTGAACCACATTATCCCTGTTATTAATTGCACCCCCAGCAATATTAGTAATTCTTTGCTGAGTAGAAGTACTCACGATAAATGACGTTGAGTGAGTTCTTTTGGCCAAGTTTTATAAATTATTTTCTCCCATTCCCCATATTCATGATCTTCTTCACTAGTACGTAGTGATCAACCTCCAAATCCCTCATTAAAGTTTTCACCGGAAGTTGCATTAGTTTATGTAGCTGAAGAAATCTTCTTTTTCTTCTTCTTTAATGGTGGAATCTCCAGTTTTGGACTCCCTTATCTCAAGGTTCGTAGTTGAGATTTCCGTTTGACTGATGGAATTGCAACTGGCGCTAGGGTTTAATAGGTAGGCTCTTTACTGTTGGAATAAATCTATATATTGTAGAGACCTTCACTTCAGATTATCGAGAACTATACGAAAGTGGAAGCGTACCTTAATTTAAAGTGGCAACAATATCGATCCGGTTTGGTCTTCCAGATGATTCCGTCAAGCCCTTAGAGGAACCTCTGACAAATAGGGAGTCGAGATTTTGGCATGACGGCTCATCCAGGGACCACAACCAATATATAAGGTTTCCAGTTCCACTCATCACAGAATAGGAAATCGGACCTTAGGGTTTCTACACAGTCTGTGCCACACCTTAATTTATAGTCAAAAGCCCAAACTTAAGTACACTTATGTAGATCATTTTAATTGGGCCGGTACTTTAAGATAGCTTATAATATACAATTATATATATTAGTGTATAAAGTCCACATTGATCTTACAATCTCCCACTTGGAATATACACCATATATATACCTTATAATTGTATATTATAGTGAAATTAGAGCGCTCAAAAAATTACTATCACAAAAGTATCTGAAACAATCCCATCCATTAATTACATTAACATAGGATCAAAGGGGCACTTGTTGCACTAGTCACAACTAAACCCATTAGTGGTCACGTATATTAATATAACTAAATGACATGGAATCAAGTGTGGATGTGTAGCATAGAAATTACATGCAATGTGATCTTTAACATGCCTATTTCTAACTGGTCCTCCTTAAACCTTAGTGAGATCAATCAAAATTTCAGAATGTAAGCACACTGAAAACTGTATACCTTATGCCTTAAACCTGACTTTAGACTTTATACTTTATACTGCAGTATTAATATATCTAAATATTCATAAATGTATGAACCTTTAAAACAAAACCAAAAGTACAAACTCCCGCTAAACTGTATATCATCAGATGACACATCACTCATTTGAGCAAGATACTCAATGAATACCTTAGCTGAATAATTCTGTGATATTGGAGTTTGTCCGAATGTGTTCCTTAAAAAATCTGTATATTCTGAACTTATACCTAACAATTAATGACTTAATGTCATTGTTATTAAAGTATCTAAATAGTTACAATATTGCCACATTACAACTTTATAAAAGTCTTTTAAGACCATACTATATTTGCAGCATTGTGAGAATATAACTAAACAAAATCGAAGTCGAGATACTGAATGATATCTAACTAAATCGAACTCCGATATGTGAGCATGTAAATGTTTTAATGATTCCGCGTAACTTTATAGCGACTACTAAAAATCTAAATATAATTTTTCTTATTTATTACTAATTATCTGCCTTAAACTTCCACTGAAATTGAGATGTGTATAATCATCACAATATTTACCTCAAAACCAAATGAGATGAAAACTTAAAGTACTTAAGTTACTAACAGGAAACTTATTTAAGCCCATAGATAAAAAATTTTTAATTTGCAAAACACCAAACAAAGTTTTCTGGTTGCACCAAATAGATTATCTCAAAATGTTACCATTAAGAAACATTCTCTCAATACCCATCTAATGAAGGCTAAAAACAAAATGCACCATATATGCCATTATAAGCTATAGTCTTAAAATCCGGAATTCCAATAATAACCAAAGAAAAGTTGTCAGTATGATAATGCCATCTTTATGACTAAATTCTTTATTGATAAAATAACCCTTATATCTTTTTAAATCACTTTTGGGTAATGAGAAAAGAACCTAAATGTTATTTTTATCAATTACTGTATTTATTTATTTTATGGCATTAATCGTAACCGTATTTCTTCTCTCTCATTTGGATTCCCTTAATGGCATCCATACTTGAGATTGTTGAGTTTACCCTTTACAATTGTCTTGATGAGGGAAAGTTTTAATACTATCTTGAATTGCCATATAAATAGACTAATATTCCCTTTAAAGACAATGTCATTAACCTCATCTCCGCCTCCAAACTCAATATTCTCAAGAAACTAGACATTTCCCGTCTAAAAGAAGGATTATCTTTGGATCTTAGAACTTATTATGTTTTAGTGTATCCAACAAAATAGCAACAAACCAAATCCAATTTCTTTTCTGTAGACCATCTCTCAATTTAATTAATCTCTCTTCTTATACACAAAATTAATTGAGCTCATTAAAATACTGATAACAGTACAATTGTTCTTAACCTAACCACATTGTGTAGGAGAGAGATCAACTCTAACTTTAGTTTCCTTGGCCTTAATTCGAGATGATACTCTGAAATAATATATTTTCGTATGTTCCCTTTTTCCTTATACCTTATAGAAACAAGATCTCTTGAAAGATTATTCATTCCCGCTTTATTGTTTTGACAAAATATTTTATAAGAGGAACAATTTTGTATTCTTTTATACTGTGCTCCTTAATATTTCTTAATGTTTCCTTCTAGTTCTTGAAAGTCTTAACAGAGTTAATTAAAGCAGATATTACTAAAATAACGGAATTAACTGTATTAAAAATAACCAAACATAAGCTCACATTTAAAAC